GACGGGAGGTTGGACTTCAGAGGGTGGAGCCATGGTATTTAAGGGGGGAGCCACGGGAAAGGTATGTTTCTGCCGTGATTCCCGGCGATCGGGAGACAAAAAGCCGGACCTGTCCCGGATTGATCGTCCTAAAGCGGGCATCTGCTGGGTGTAATTGGCCGGGGGGCGGGGGGGTCCGTGGTGGGTGTTGCTTGTTAGCCGGCCAAGCGCTCTCAAGGGATGATGCCTCGAGTGGGGCCTCCCGGCCTCGCAAGGCATCGGGGGCTGTGACGCCTACCAGTCCCTGGGGAGACCGGAACTCCACTGCAGGTAGATCGCGGGCCAGGTTGCAGATCCTGTACCTGGGGTATGTCGGGCTTTATGAAGCCTCAGGGAAATGAGCTAACGTGAGGGATGGGAAGGCCTGGGGGAGGAAAGCTGTTTTCTTTCCAGAAAAAAATGGAGTGTGGAATATATTATTTTACAATGATAAATGATATGTTTGCAACATATTATTCAAACTATATCACACGAAGACCTTAATGAAAGCCTTCTGAGACTTTCTGGCTTTCAGTTCTCTTTAGAAATGCAACATTTCCAGAAATGTCCATTTTTTTCTGGGGGGGTGGGAAGAGAAAAAGCTTTTTTTTCCTGAAAAAAAAGCAGAAATATTCAGAAATCTCTACCTAAAACCCTCTTTACACACAAGGTATACATTCCTGCCTCTGCATCATTGCATGTTTGTATGAACTGTGGTGGAAGTAAGCCAGAGGTTGAGCGTTGGGGGCTCTCCAAATTCCGTTGTACGGTTCCCATATACAGTTCAGATTAAACAATTGCCTAATGGGAATTGAAAGCTGAACCATGTGGGTTGTTGTTTTGTGGCAATTCTTTCAGAGAGTAAACTTCTGGCTAAGAGCTAGGAACCCTGAGTTCAAATCTTCACTCAGCCATGGAAATTTGCTAGGGGGTGTGTGCCGGGGATAAAACGCTCCTTGAACTTCTTGCTTATTCCAACAACCCTATTAGGGTTGTGATAAGTCCAAAGTTATTTGAAAGCACATCACATTTTCCCAGTGGAAGGGGGGGGAGATGATCTCCCGGGGAGGCTGCCTGATGTGAAATTAAGAAATAGATGTAATGCTATGACTGTATTGAATATAATTCTTTCCATTCGTTGCCTTATTCGGGTTTATTGGGTGGGTGAATCTGTGTGTATCCATGTTCATGCAGGAGAACCTGTCTCTTTCAGCCTCCTCCTGTCCAGATTTGCTGGAGTTCAATGTCCATCATCACCCTCCCCCAGAACTAAAATGGCCACTGGTTAGTGAACATGGGAGGTGAACCCCAAACATCTGGAATGTGTCAGGCTAAGGACCACTTGATGTGCCTTTTCTCATCAAAAGAACCCATGGGCTCAGCTGCCATATGTCAAAGGTGGGGTTTTTCTCTGGTACATCATGGGGTAAAACGAGGTTCGAACCATTATTTGGTTGTTGATTGCAGGCCCCTGAAAAGCTCATTAGTAAGCCTATGTGGCCACTGTCCATGCTGGCTGAGGGATTCCGGGATTCGGAGTACTGAAAAGGAATTTGGCGGGAGGATTCTGGGAGTTGTAGTTAAAAATAGATCACATTACCAGGTCCCAGTGGAGCATTCCCTCCTTAATATGGTGCAGTGGCATTTCTTTTTGTGACGCAGGCATGAAAGGGAGCCCTCAGTGGCGGTTATTAGGAGGGTGAAAGACAGAGACTCTCCATGGTGTTGTCACTGCTGACGTCCCTCTGTTTGGATGGTCGTCACAGCTGTAGCCCAGCCAGCTGAATAGCCGGAGTCCGAGGCTGATTTTACAGAGGCGAAAGGATGCCAGTAGCCTGGAAATGCAAATGGGGATGTATTTTCACAGTGCAGAGTTTTGCCAAGACAAATAGCACAGCCTCCCCTCTCTCTCTCTCCAACTAGGAGAATGAGACTCGTGTCCCCGTTAATTCTGTAAATGCCCCCATCTTCCCATGTCAGTTCAAACCCTCACCATGGCTGAAAGAGAATTTATACTATTGGGTTTCTTTATTTTATTGATTTCTTTTTTGAAAAGCCTGCTCTTTATCCCTGTGGATGTGAGGGCGGTGTACTGATGTGATTCAAGTAACATTCAGTACACTAAAAATGCTAGTCCAGATCCTTTTGATAATGAGAGAACAGAACAGACAAAATCAGCAGAATCTTTTAAACCAGTGGTTCTCAAACTGGGGTCCCCAGAGGGACTGACACTTCCAGAAGCCTTAACCACTAGCCGTGCTGGCAAGGGCTTCTGGGAGTTGCAGTCCAAGAACCTCTGGGGACCCCAGGTTGGGAACCACAGTTCTAAACACATAAATAGGGCCATTTCAGGAAACAAAATGTGTTTATTTAAAATATTTCTACCCCACCCTTCTCCTTAAAGAAAGACACAAGGTAACTTACATCATTGAAAGGCAGCATTTAAACCTGAAAACCATGAGTATACACTGACGATTTACATCATTAAAAGACAACATCAAAGCTAAAACAATAAGTATGAAAATACTAAAGAGAAACAAACAAATACCATTCTGAGAGATGGTAAATACAAGTAGGACTAAAGAGCCAGTCAGAGCAGTAATGCCCTAACAATCCATTTAAAAGTCACCCTCAGGTAGCGAGTCACTGAGGGAAAGCCTCCCTGAAGAGACAGGCCCTTGCCTGCTTGCAGAAGAACAGCAAAGAGGGGGGCCAGTCTGGCCTCCAGTGGGAGGGAGTTCCAGAGTCTGGAAGCACCAACACAGAAGGCCCTCTCCTGTGTCCCCATCAGACGTGCCTATGGAGGTTGTGGGTCTGAGAGAAACGCCTCTCCCAATGATCTTAACACCGAAGCCAGCTCATCATGGGAGATACAGTCTTTGAGATAGCTCGGATCCAGGCCATTGTGGGCTTTGTAGGTTAAAAACAGCACTTTGAATTGTGCCCAGAAACGGATCGGCAGCCATTAGAGCTGCTGTAACAAGGGGTGGGGGTGTTATGCGATCCCTGTAAAACAGCCCCAGCCGGCAATCTGGCTGCTGCATTTTGGACCCGCTGAAGTTTCCCGACACTTTCCATTGGCAGCCCCACAGAGAGTGTGTGGCAGTAATCCAGCCGGGAAGTCACTAGGGTGTGTGTGTCACAGTGGGTAGATCAGATCTCTCAAGAAATGAATGTAGATGGTGCAGTAGTTTTGATTGTGCAAAGGCACTCCTGGCCACCACCAAAACCTGGGCATCCAGGCTCAGGGATGAAGAACCCCCAAGAGGCACACCTGTGTTTTCAGGTGGAGCGTTCCTTGGTCTGCCTTTTGTCTGACCGGAAGCAAAACATGCTATGAACTGTATATTATTGGGTGGGTTTTTTTAAAATGCAGCTGATTTGAATGTGTGGAGTTTGCCGTGAATGAGAGAAAGCAGTCATAGAGCCTTCACAGATTCTTCGGTTCTTTTGATCAGCCATCCCGTGGAATGAGGAAGTGTGTCGTCTTTTCATGCATACAGTGGAGAGAGAATGCTCTGTAAGGGAAACCCCGCGGGAGTCCATGGGCGGAGGCCAAAAGCGTTCTGTGGTTGGGCCCCGTGTATGGAGACGCAGGGTATGGCAACATTAGCAACAGGGAGCAATCTAGGCTTGGTGGCTTTGGAATGGTTTGGAACGATGGAGCTGGATTAAACCGTTCCTTCAATTCATACAGAAATTGCTGGGAGCGAGCTGGATTAGACCGTTCCTTCAATTCATACAGAAATTGCTCCTGTGGCCTCTTTTGTTTGCAGTTCAGTCAACCACAGGTTTGTGTTAGATCAGCCTGTCTTGGTCGGTTTGGTTGAAATGTGTGCTCTTCTCACTCCCTGCCTCCTGCCTCCTCTTTTGCAATGGGTATCAACATGTTTGGAAACTGTCTGCTTCCATTGGCTTGTGGGTTGGGCTTTTATATCTATAAAAAGGAGTTACAAAGTGGCAGGTTTCAGCTTTGTGTTTCTCTTTTTCTGCTTCCTTTTTTTAAAAAATCATTTTGTTAAGGGGTATAGCACGGCGTTGTTTCATTGCTGAAGAATCCGTTTGGCTCTCTTTTATTTCCGAAATACATTTCTGTCTTTTAAAAAGAAGAAGAAGAAGCATTAACGCCCACTGTCGTATTGTGCTATGTAGTCTTCGTTGACTGATGTTGAGCAGTGTCAGCTTTGCAAAATTGGCAGGCAGTAAAGCACGTGTAAAGGTGAAGCTGCACAGTCAGGATATCATTTTCAGCCCTGTATAGTGCTTAAGTGTTGCAGTGCAAGAGTGGGGAAGTATTTTATGTGGGTGATCATGGAACAAAGGAAGGCTAATTGCCTTAGAGAGAACAAAGGAAACGACAGCAGATGTCAGAGCCAGCGGAGCCTACAGGCAACGCCCTGAGAGCTCTTTTATTTACTTAGCACGATTACACAGTATGTTGGAAGAGACACAGATAGGATATTAGTTACCTAATCGTAACCAGGATTGGCTGAAATAGCTCTTTGATCTTATGCTCTACCTCCAAGTCTAAGCGAAAGGGCAGAAGAAGGGGTTAACTTGCCTGCTAGCCACTGCTGCATCCTGCCAGGAGTATATGCACATCACTGGAACAGAATGCTGCTACAACCTTTAATCAGAAGTTTCTTTTAAATGTAAAAGATAAAACAAACATGCTTTTTTTTTTCACTTCGAAATAGGATGGAGGGTGCTATTTGCAGTCACGGTCAGACCACACCCAGCTTTATATGTAGTCACTGACATGTTGGAAGAGAGAGCGTGCACACAGAGAGAGAGAGAGAGAAAGAGACAGACAGACACAGACATGAGCGATCTAGGCTATCACACCACGAGAAAACTGTGTTTATTTGGACCAGTTCTAATTGTTCCATATAAACAGTAGGCTCCAGCCTTAGACCAGTCTGAGATGGATTGGCCCCCATTAGGGATGGGTTGGAATGCTCTAGTCTAGCAAGAATGTCGTGCAGTCAGTGTTTTTTAAGAGTGATTTTCCAGTGGTTCCTGCCGAGGGCTACAGAGTTGGATACATTCCTGTGTAGCTGGCTTCACAGTATCGGTATCTTATGGCTGTTTTAAACAGGTTTTGCAAATAGGATTTTAATGCATATTGCAAACATTAATGTAAACTGCTTGGAAAATACATGTTGGAAAGCAACCTTTAAAAATCCTGCAGATCCAAACTTTCTGATCAAGATACAGAGTAAGCTCTCCATGGTGTCCTGGTTTATCAGCTAAACATTGAATTGCCTTTTCTGCAGGATCACCGAACTTCTACCTCCCTTCCAGCGGGTCATACAGCCTGAAGAGATGTGGCTGTATAAGAACCCCTACATAGAGTCCGACCACGTACCTGCCAAACCCATGTTTGTAAGTATAACTTCATTCCCCCCAGCCATTCTCTGCATTCTAAGCTGTGTTGCCATACATGTGTGATATCTATACATCAGGGATCGGCAGCATGCACTGCAGAAGGTTATATGTGGCCTCCCTACCCCTAATGGTTGCAAGCATCCAATCACCCCCTTTGAAAACTGAAGCCATATTTTTCTGCAAGAAGAAGGGAGCATCTTCCTCCGGGAAGCATCTATGAAACTGAAGCAAATGGTGCTGCCACAGGTTACCGAAAACGTGGATGGAGGGCGGTCTAAGATTGGCAGTGAACTTCATTCTCTTCTGGATTAAAAAAGAATCTAGACCTACATTTTCAGCCAAGGAGCAGCCCCATAGTGGGTCCTGTGCAAACTGTCCCCTAGACATGACCAGGTTGTATCTCCCACCCATGTGTCATGTAGTGTGGTGATCACATCAACCTCGTGTGGCAGATGGAGCCTTCATGAGATGGTCCTCTTTTACCTTAGGAACGTACTATGTTGCCTTTTCCAAGTCAGACTCCTTGTCTCTCCAGTCCAGCATTGTCTGTTGAAACATGTTAGGAATTTTTTAAGCCTCCAGATCCAGGGTGTGACATTTAAATACTCCGGTGCTGAAGAATCTGTGCAGAACCAGACCTACAAGCTAGATATTCTGCTTTTAATCGTGTCATCTGACTGGTTGGTTGCAAGTAGCCTTGCCTCCCTTCCAGCAACAAGCTGTGTGCGAAACAGTGATGAAAAGCAGGCAGGGCCAAAAATAAATAAATGACGATGGTCCCAACATTTGTTGTTGTTGTTGTTTTAACAAAATTCAGTCATTATGAATGTATAATGGGGCAAAAAGCCTGTTCCAGTTTGCAGAGAACCAGGAATCTCTAAAGCGGGTGAAGAGGTTGTGAATTTCTTTGGAGTCAAAAGGTGACAAGCACTGTACGTGAAATCCTAAACCTTGGCCTTATCCATATGGCTAACCCTACTGTTAGCCTTTGGTGCATTGAAATCTCAAGGGGGGGGCGGGGTCAGGAAAAAAATAGCTGTATAATTCACTCAGTGCCAATTTTAAAGATGAGAATTAAAACATGTACTGCATTTTTTCTTTCTCCTCCTCTGTCTGGTTGTGTTTTGGTGTTGCCTTTGCCCTCCTACTGACCCTCGTCCTGTCTCTACCCTCTTGTTCCAGCTCATTTCCTTTTTGTCTCCCCTGGTCTTTATTCTGCTGGCCAAATTCTTCATGAACGCTGATCAAGGGGACACACGAGAAGCTTGCTTAGGTGAGTTCAATGTGATGGGTTTAGGAAGGATACTTACCATATTTTTCCATGTATAAAACTACCCAGTGTATAAGACGACCCCCACTTTTCCATCCCAAAATAAGAAAATTTTATCGCTGCTTTACCCCTCCATTCGGGGCTTAGGAAATGGAGGGGTAACGCAGCCGCGAAAGGGCTGCAGGATCAAAGGGCTGCGATCCTGCAGCACTTTGATCCCTTCCCCCCTTACTCCCGTGTATAAGACGAGCCTCAATTTTTTTATCTAAAGAAAAATATGGTAAGTTGAAGCAGCATTCTATCACAGCCGGGGGAAAGGAAGCGAGGGAGGGAAGAAGGAAAGAAATCTAGCTAAAAGGGTTGACAGAGCTACTTAGGAAGATAAATAACACGAGAGTCCCTTTCTTTAGGCTGGTAATCTAAATCTGAGATATGGCATACAAGGAATAAAAGATGGGGATGGCAGAGAAAAAAATGGGAGTTACCTGTAACAGTTTAGCAAACGTGACTTCTGCTCTGCACTTGAACTGAAAATGTCCTATGGGAGTGATACCAGCGATGGTATGCCAGCTTGCACTGTTAGATTGAGCAGGTAAAAATAACCTAGCTACCTGTGTAACTTCAGAGAGGGGGCTAGACCTGCTTCCTTTGACACAGAAAGTACACTTGTACAGCTATTGACACTTTCCATTCTATGGGGCAATAAGAGCACAAATGCTGAGATAACCTTTAAACTGTGATCCCATGGCCTGAAATTTTCTAAAGTGACATTTCGTTGGTTGTATTTTAATGTTATTTTAATTTTTTATTATTCCCATTTTATTTTTCTTTATTTTATTGGTGATTCCATCACAAAGTTACATTTGACATGGGATACAACTCCCATTGTGTTAAACACATTTTCTGGCTCTGGTGCGCTTGCTCTCTACCCGTCCCCCGTGGCAGGCAGAATCGTGACCATGCGCTGGATCGGGGTGGTGTGGCTTCTACTTGGTTGCTTTTGTATTTTCTGTCCTTGCAGCTGGCAGCCTGGCTCTTACCCTGAATGGCGTTTTCACCAATGCTGTGAAGCTGATCGTGGGCAGGTGATGACCCTTCTTGGTGCCTTTTTTCTTTTGTTTCTTTAAAGAGAACCAGTGTTTACATTTTGATGGACCCTTGCCGGGGGACAGGCCTAGTCCAGTTACAGAGTGAGATGGTGGACTGAAACCCTTCAGGCCGCAGCGGGGCTTGGGTTGGACTCTGTACCCCTTCTGAAGGCTTCTGCCTCCCCAGCCGTCCTTGCCTCTTCATGCTAGAAAATTAGCACGAGGAAGGAAAGTTCGAGCCTAGCCCACTTCTACTTTCTGGGTCGTTTTCTCTCAATGTCAAGCATTGAAAATGTGATTCTTCACTTCCCCTGCTTCAGCCTGGAAGGAGAACAGTTGTACTGCCCTATTACCACCATGTTCTTGTATTAGTATTGGTGTTACTAAATTCACCCTAAAGGGATGCGTTTTGTGCTGAACATGATTGCTGAAAACTCCGTTAGTGCCATTGATTTTTATGCTGGCATTCTGAATATATCACCCTGGCATTCTTATGCCTTGTATTAGCTCCTGCAAGTGCCCTTTGGAACGGCCTGGAGAACTGTTTCCTTCTTTCCGGAACAACTGTCAAATCAGTGAAAGCCACCAGCTTGTGAGGCCTCCCAAGATGGGTTATGGGAAGAGCGGGTTGGATTCCAGGACCTTCTGGGAATGCTGAATGTCCAGGAAGTCAATGTAGGATATAGATGGGGAGGTTCTGGCCCAGAGTTATAATCCAGCCCTTAGCAGATTCCCTGCTGATGCATTTCCAAGACTCCTCCATGCAGTTCATGGAAGACTCTTATCAGAGAAGAGAACTCCCATTATCCCCATTTGGGGGATGGCAACAAGGGTTCCTTGGCACATGGAAGAGAAATTCTGTTGCTGTCTCAGATTCTGATTCAAGATAGCCACGAGACCTTGTGTCTTGTTGTCAGTGAGTACCCAGATGGCTCCAGTCAGTGCTAGCTAAAGCAGATTCTCCTTTCCTCTCAGCTTTTGCCACCAGGAGCTGCGGGAGCCTCCCCCTGAGGGTGTATTGCTCCACCAGCCCATGCCCGCTGCAGAGGGAGGCAGGGCAGCAAAGACAGGTTCCCACTGGAGCTTTAGCAAAGCAAAAGCAAAGCGTGCTGCTTATATACCACCCCATAGCGCTTCAAGCACTCTCTGGGCAGTTTACAAGTTAATTATGCAGGCTACACATTGCCCCACCCCCCAGCAAGCTGGGTACTCATTTTACCGACCTCGGAAGAAGGCTGAGTCAACCTTGAGCTGGCTACCTGGATTGAACCCCAAGTCGTGAGCACAGTTTTAGCCCATTTCCCATTAATATCGGGCTGCAGCCACGTCTCCCTGTGTCAGCTCCCCATTCTACTTCCCCTTCCCCAGAGTGGGGTCATAATCAGAGATTCCGCCTCACTCCATCCCTCTCCTCATCCTCTCGGCTCCTTCCTCTCCTCAGGATTGCTGTTAGAATGAAAACTCACCCTCGGCTGTTCTTCCCTCCCTCTAGGCCTCGCCCTGACTTCTTCTACCGCTGCTTTCCAGACGGCCGAGAGACCTTACAGCTATTATGCACCGGTGACGCGCACGTTGTGACAGAAGGGCGCAAGAGCTTTCCCAGTGGACATTCCTCTTGTGAGTTCCCCCGCTGCCTTTGTGCTTTCTGGCCCAGGATGGGAAGCACTCGGTGGAGAGATAGGATGGATCTGGCAGTCAGCTTGCAGATCGATCCAGAGGTTGTTCATTGACAGTCATCTCAGAGTGCCCTGGGAAGACGGTGGCCTGAATGAAAATTGAATCTCGGCCCATGTTCAGGAACTGGGCCAATAAGATCATGCAGTACAGAGAGTCTCAGATCAAATATATATGTGTGTGTGTCTACTCAGAATTAAATACAGTGGTGCCTCGCTTAACGATTGCCCCGCATTACTACAAAATTGCTGTACGACAATCTTTTTGCGATCGCAAAACAATGGTCTAAATAGGTTTTTTTCGCTTTGCGATGATCGGTTCCTGCTTCGGGAACCGATTCTTCGCAAAACGATGGTTTTTTAAACAGCTGATTGGCGGTTTCAAAATGGCCACCGGGTGCTTAAAATGGCTCCCCGCTGTGTTTAGGGACGGATTCCTCGCTATACAGGCAGCGAAAATGGCCGCCGTGTGGAGGATCTTCGCTGGATGGTGGGTTTTTACCCCATTGGAACGCATTGAACGGGTTTCGATGCGTTTCAATGGGGTTTTTAATTTTGTTTTACGATGTTTTCTCTTAACGGCGATTTTCCTGGAACGGATTTTCATCGTTAAGCGAGGCACCACTGTATATATGTCTACTCAGAATTAAAGCCCACTGTGTCCAATATGACTTGCTGGTGCTTCACCATAGCACTAGATTCTGCACGGAATCTCTCTCTCTCTCTCTCTCTCTCTCTCTCTCTATCTATCTATCTATCAAAGGTCACACTGTTAGGAACCCGTCTTCCAGGCTTAGCCTGTATTGTAGCCTCTCCTCGTTGAGTCCCACTGTCCTCCACCTTGTCTTCCAGTTGCCTTTGCTGGCCTTGCCTTTGGATCCTTCTACATAGCAGGGAAGCTTCACTGCTTTGCGCCTGGTGGGCGAGGGCAGTCCTGGCGCCTGTGCGTCTTCTTAATGCCCCTCTTTGTCGCCATGCTCATCGCTTTATCCCGCATCTGTGATTACAAGCATCACTGGCAAGGTGAGGGGGAACTTTCTGAGGGGAAATGGGCCGGGGCCAGAGAACTGGGGAAAGCGCAAGTTGGGGTGGTGGAAGTTGGATGCCCTGTTCAGCACAAGGATTGCGCATGTTTGACGCTCCAGATTCGGTTTCTTTATTTTATTTATTTATTTATTTTGTACCCCACCTATCTGGTCAATACGACCACTCTAGGCGGCTTCTAGACAGGTAAAAATACAAAAACGTACACACACACACACACACGTGTGTGTGTGTGTGTGTGTATATGTATATGTACATATATACATATAAATTAAATACATATAAATTAAAATATCCAGCAATAGACAGTAAACAATGGTTGGACTTCCACAGTGGTTGTGAGAATTATGCGGGGAGTGACCATGGGATACATAACTGCTGAGATCTCCTTGTGGGGAGGGATGTGTAATAAATGAAGCAACAGCTGATCAGTGACAGTATTGTTTTGGTGCAAGATGGAATCTTGTGATGCTGTTACCTAGCCCGAGGGGAAATGGGCTTTAACTCTTCTTCTGCACTCTTTCCTTTCCAGATGTGCTCGTTGGTTCGGGAATGGGCTTCACATTTGCATACCTCTGCTACAGGCAGCATTACCCTCCATTGACTGATCCTGAATGCCATCAGCCGCTACAATGCAAGTCCAGACTCTCGGCCTCCGAGAGGCAGAAGCTAACACTCTCCGGCTTTAGCTTAGATGTATAAAAGTCACAGCAGATTACCACCTGCATGCCCTGGGATCTGGATGAGACTGGGAGGGCACAGCTGCCCGCGTTGTTTTGTGCCTGGAAGAAAAAAAGGTGATGGTACCTCTTTCTTTGCAGGTCTTTTGGAAGAAAAACGAAGGTAGTGTTTGGCTTGTGTGATGGATAAGCAAAGCCGCCTCCCCGGTCATCCCAGGCCATCTCAACAGTCTTAGAAGTTGGGGCTGATCCTTCGTAGCAGCCCATTTACAGGCTGACCCATGCCAGCTTTGAAGGTCTGGAGCACAGCAGACACAAACAAAACAAGCAAAGTCCAGTTCTTTGCCACAAAGCCAGGCCTTCCGCTTGTACCTTGTTTCCCCACCACCAAATCTCGATGAGTGTGCTGGCACTTAACAGAAGATGGCGTCTGCAAAGCAATTGCTCAAAATGATGCGAGCAGGCCTAGCTGCACAATAAGGAGGGGAGGATGTCACCGTGTCATGTAACAACTTACAGACTTCGGGTTCTTGTGGGACAGTGGTGGGTAAATGTGGCCCCTCCAGATCTTGGTGCAACTCAGGTGAGCTTTAGGTAGCTTGAGCAACTGCACGCGGACTTAGAAATGGCAGTCTTGTAATATCTGGAGCAGCACAACTTGCCAACCCAACTGTAGGAAGTGGAGTGTGGTGTAGAAGATCAAGGACTTGGGAGACCTGGCTTTCTTGGTCATAGAAACTGGTCAGCGAGCTGGTAAAACCACTTCTGAAATCTCTCAGAAAACCCTCATAGGGGTTGCTGTAGGTTGGATGCGACTTGATGGCACACAGCATGCACACTCTAAGGTGTCATAGGTTTTTATGGATAAGATCAGTGGTTCCCAACGCTGGGTTCCCCAGATGTCCATGGACTAAAACTGCCAGAAGCTGAGCAGTGCTGGCCAGGCTTTCAGAGAATTGTAGTCTATGAACATCTGGGTACCCAAGGTTGGGAGCCACCAAACTAGATCCTTGAATGGCACAATCTTCCCAGGTGTACTGAATATCTCTTTTGCTTATATAGATGTTTAAATAAGTTTAACAATACAGCCCAAAGCGGATCTACACAGAAATCTCTGTGAGATTTCTCCTTATGTCTGGATCAATGAAGGTTGGAACCCAACAGCACAGAGTGAGAAATGATAAACAGCCAACTGGCCCAAGACATCTTGTGCCCTGCCCAACATGGTGCCCCCTTCTCCACTCTACGTACTAAGAGTCACAGGAGTGTCTTTTGAACCTTCCTTGAATAGCATTCTGCACACCTGAGGGCAGCAGGCCAGGTTCAAGGATAAGGACAGGCTGTGTGGCCCACCAAGCTGTGTCCTTCAATGGAGAGGATCTGTTGGCAGAGTCGGGAAGAACAATTAGGAGCAACTGCTGTGGCTGCCATCATCCCCAACATGTGTGGCTTCAGGCCGTTGTCTCACTGTCCAACCGGAGGCCTGGATTTGGTGAACCGCTGGATGAATAGCTCACGCGTTTGATCAAGTGGACTAATCCACAGAAGCTTCTGCCATAATGTATGTTCCCTTCAACAGAACTGCCAGTCTCTCTTCTTTTGGGGGGTTTGCTCCCTCTGATGGCCTTTCTGCTCTTCAGAGCTGTGTGTGTTCCCCCAGCTGCCTTCAGAAGCAGAATGTATGTTGTATGGACCAAGCTCTTGGAAGGATTAGCACTGTGCATCTTCCCACACAATCACTCAGCATCCATTTTGAGGAAAGTAATTTAGAGCACGGTGGGCAAAGTACAGCTCTCCACAGGGTAGATAAAAATCAATGCTTTAAAAAAATCAAATTTGATTTAAATCATAATTTAAATTGAAACATAATTTAAAAAATTTTTAATTGGCCTCAAATATTTTTTTCATTTAAATTGTAATTTAAACCAGAGGTCGTCAACCCCCAGTCCACAACCCCGTGTTGGTCCATGGCCTGAGCCATACCAGGGAGACAGACCTCCCGCCCCCCCACTTGCACTCCCCACACCTGCTTTGCGTACACACGCGTGTTCCAGTCCTGGTGAGCACTTCCCCACCCCTCCACGCAAGCACTCCTGCACATGCGCAAAGGGGCGGTTAAGCGCTCGCACTGGCGCGCACATGCGCGTTCCCCCACCGCTTTGTGCACACACCCCGAGTGTGTGTGCGTGCACCCAAAAGCGTGCCTTCCTCAGAGGCTCAGCCCGTCCATGGTCCCAAAAAGGTTGGGGACCGCTGATTTAAACCATATCCACCCTGGCCCTTCCTCAGTTTTTGGAGTCTGCAGTCCAAACAAATAGCCACCATATCTGGACTCAGAATCTTTTTTGACAACTTGTCTTGTGCTGCTTTTTAAGCCTGTGTTACCCTCGACCCTCAGTGGACAGATGCATTATCTCTAGGATGAGAATTGGGACTTCTTATTTTCCTTTTAATGTTCTGTACGTTTTTAGAGCCCAAGTCACTAGATGACAATTTTAATTGTTTTTTGGCTTTGTTTTTGAAGTGTTTGATTAATAAAATTGATAGTACATTAGAGAACAAGAGTTCTGTCACATCATTAGTGCTCTTTTGAATGCTAAATGTAGAGAATTGTGTTGGGCATAATAGATCGTGACCTACTGACTTCACATTTCATTGTCTCCCCCCCCCCAAACACTGCACAGTGGATGTATCTTATTTTTTCATGTATAAGACTATACTTTTGTCTAAAATCTTTAGACTTAAAATTAAGGGTCGTCTTATACACGGAAGCTGAGAGAAAACCAAGTAGAGGGGAAAGCAGGGATCAAAGCGATCCTGCAATGCTTTGATCCCTTTCCCCCTACACTTGCTAAGCCCCACTTAGATTTCTTAATTTTGGGTTAGAAAAGTCTTATACATGGGGCGTCTTATATATGGTAGCTGAAAAAGCATTCAGCAATTACTCTTGGATGATGTGCTTGTGATGCTCAACAGGAGAAATCTACCTAAATGTTTCAAGTCAGTGCATATACTTGGGTGTTGTGTGTGTGTTCCCTTGCAGATAAGAACTATTTATTCCTCTAGTAAGACATGAGGTGTTTACTGAAAGAGATGGGGTAATACAAGATTATCCCGATACACTTAGGTCAGAGCAGAACTTGGAAGCAATGTGTTAATTTTAATGCATTAACTAAATTCATGACTTTTCCATTTGGCAAAGTAAGGACTTTGCTAAGAAATGCTACAAAGTCCTTTGCATTAAGCAGGTGAGGTTCTGATGGACTAGACAAGGTTTTCCTCCTGCAGGAGTTTCCCCTCTTTCCCGGCTTGATGGTGGAGGGAAACTAACAATGGCTTCTTCTAACATGGAGAAGTCAAGGGGATTATGGGAGTGGTTGTCCTCGGGGGTTTAGTGTGTTTTGTTGGCATCCTTTTGACTACTGAGACCTTCTATGGCCCTGTGCTCCATGAAGAACAAGGTGGCCAACATGCAGCAGAGCATAGGTTAAAGATTCCCCTTTCAGCTGCTGGGATGGTACAGCAGCTCAAGTAAAGAGAACAAGCAGAAGGAAAGGAGATGACCCTTAAATTGCAGCTGGATTAGCCCTCTTTCCTATAAAATATTCTGATCAGATATGTGTGCCATGCCCTTCCCACTAGTGGTGAAGGACTGGTTGTGGGGGGGGGGAAGAGTGCACCACTGTTGTGCATTCTGATCCGTTAACCCAGCCTGTCTATTAAAGTGAGTTGGAAGTCACCCTCTTAGGATGCCCTCCACTGCAGGAAAATACTGTATTTTTTGCACCATAAGATGCACTTTTTTCCCCAAAAAAACATTGGGGAAAATGTATATGCGTCTTATGGAGCGAAATATCCAGATTATTTTTTCCTGTTTTCTTTGCCTAAAAATCTGCTGCGTCTTATGGAGAGGTGCATCTTATGGAGCGAAAAATTCTTCCTTTTGTTTTGTGCACCCATGTAACATATTGGCTGGGATCCTCTTTCTCTTTCATTGTGTAACTGTGTAAGATATGCCCAAGCAAAAAAGGATGGTGTGCGATTGTGCAGCTGTGCAACAGGATTTCAGCCCTTGTATAGGAACAAAACCTTAAGAAGGACCTCAAAGCAGATCTAGTCCTAAAGTAAAAGCTAGAAAGTAGCACAATTCTAAATGAAAACTGGAACTTTTACTACATCTTGTAACATGCTGACATTTGTGTGATACAAATATTATGCTATTCTTACCTTTGTGCCGTTCTTGACATAAATGGTCCTTCCGACTCACTTGCCCCACTGATTCCAACATGCCAACTCTAGGCATGATTCAGTTTGGATCTAGAATCCAATCTTTGCAGCATGTATGACATGAGAAAATACGTTCACACTTGCATGTTTCCAACAACAAACAAATGGTTTGAAGCAGTAATTGCTGCTCAAAAGCTGAAGCCAGTACTTTTAGGCAGAAGATATTAGTGCTTGTAACATAACCAATGGATTAGGCAGCACAGCGTGAAAAACAACAGCTGAGAATGCAGACAGGTGGGAGAAGTAGCTTCACATTTGGGACCATTTTTCGTGGGATTTTTCCCTCTGTGTTTTGTGCAGTGAGAAGGAAGGAAATGGTTGTCTGTTGTAACTTGAAGAATGTTAGATGTATGTCTCATTTCATCCAAGGGGTGTAGAAAAAATTCAGACGTTTTAACAGAAGCCAAATACATGACTGAGCATTAAGATACCACACATCACTTTCAGTTTAGAGGAACACAACTTTCTCGCTTCTCCCTTGTTTTCTGTACTGGCAGACAGGAAACAAGGCCTCACATGGCTCACAGACATCAAGATTCTCCTTGCAGAGGCCAAGAAAAGCTCCAAAGACAAAAGTATTTACTGAAAAAAGTTAAATAACTTCTTTTAAATAGATATATTTTACAAAGTGCATAAACTTTCAATTGTTGCGTGGGATTAAGACTGAACGAGGCTGAACTCCTATGAGCATCCCTGCTGCAGCAAGAGTCTGACCCAGAACTTGGTTGTGCTAAATAATGCCGCCCCTTCATAGCGGCAGGGTGGAGAGAGAAGGGGAAGGGATAATGCCGTGACAAATGGTGCAAACAGATCAGGGGGAATAAACAAGTCAAATGCCTGACGGCGAGTTTTGATACACAGCATGAGAACAATACAACAGAGTCATGTCCTTCTCCTGAACACACTGCTTGCTGCTGCCACCACCCACCTTGTAGAAAGGATTCCATGAAAATCCCGGTAAAGCCATGGAGATTGTTAGCCACTCTCTGACATTCATGCCAAGACACAAAGGACCATCTCTGCTGGGTGAAGCCGTTCTGCAACCCTGTAACATCAGGTGCAGCATAAAGGGTCTGCATTAGCACTCATCCTGAAGCTCTAGTAGGCCTATGCTTTGAGTTCTCCAGTATCCAAGCACAGGAGAACATGCTGGGGGAAAAACAGAACAAAATACTCTACTGTTCTGGCATGTGTCCAACTGCAATGCAGATTTCATTCACCAGAGACCGTGCTGCCTGGTGGAAGTAAGTACCTTGACACTCTGATGAGGGCACCCTGCAATCTGAAATAGACTTTTGTTTTCACTGCAGTTTCTAGGAGAAACAGGAAATGGTTTTCCCCATCTGTTTCCTTTCTTACCCAAGCCTCAGGTGCAGGTAAGGCAAGAATCCACTGCATTCCTTGTGGTAATTAGAGGTTTGCCTTGATGTCACTACTCCATGATTTCAGTGGGAATCTATTGTGGAGATAATGAATGTGTACAGGCCTGCTTTAACTTGCCATCCAGAACTCCAGGAAAGCAGACAGAAATTGGGGGTCTCAGTTGTCTTACGTTGCCTGCTAGGGTATAACCATGTGCTATCAAACACAGCTCCCAATGTGCATCAAGCTGGTGGCTGACTACTGCATTGGCTCTGTCTCTTTTCCTTAGCCCAGGTATACTTTTCTATGATAAAAATCAAGATTTAGCCACTGGTGAAATAGATGTTCAGTCACTGGGACCCATCTAGTGTTAATAAAAGCCAAGGACTGCAAACAAACTGTGTTCTTCTTTCAAAGTGTTCACACCAGGTTAGAGAACCAGCTGGAACACAAAGTAAAGCCACAAATCTCCTAGCAACACGGCTCTCTGCCTCATGGCACAGTTGCCTGAACACCGCACAGCTCTCAAGACAGACAGCAGTGGGAATCCAGATTCTCCAGTAGGCTACAGCTATCTAAAGTCCAACTCATTTAAATAGAAGGGAGGTCATGCCATAATGAAAAGAGTGACTTCTGTGCAGAAGAAAGGTAGGAATAAATGTAGTGTTTCACGTGCCTATCAGTTTCTTCCTGGCCTGAGTAGCCAACTATCTGCTTTTCTGAATGTAGCTGTCATAACATACAGCAACGGCTAGCACATCATTCACACTGACTGTGGTTCAAGTCAAGAATAGCCTTGGACAGTCTTTTGCTTTGGTCTGTAGCTCCACCTGCTGGATGAAGCAGCAGCAATAAAGGAGGGTGTATAAATACATAGATAGATATATGTGTCTGTGTGTGTATATATATATATACTTATAAATATCTATATAGATAGATACACACACGTGTGTGTGTGCAAACATACGAGCACACACACAAACTCTTAAAAACAAAATGTATGGTACTGGAGGTCCCGTGTGGCCCGTGTGGCCTGTTTCCTACAGTCTGTCCAAACCCTTAGCAGCTTTACTCTCCTTGGAATATCAACATCCACTGTGAGGGCTTTCCAGCTGAACAGGGCATGGGGAGTCTGCACTACCAATGGATGCAGGTGGTATACCCAGACTGGCCTCCAATCAGAGGATGCAGCCCAGCAAGTCCAGGAGGAAGAGGTACAATCAAGAGACTGTGCTTCCTGTGGAATACATAGGGGTGGGGAATCCTCCAAAGCTCCAGTCAGTTGAGGTCAAGCACACTGGACACACGTCAGCTACAGATGAGAGAGGAGGAAGATGGCAAGGAGCCTCAATGCGCTTTCAGCATGAAATCTAAGGGAGCAATAGAAAAGTTTAGTCACGCTACTGATGAATTCCCTAAGAAGAATGGACATATAAAGCTGCTATTCAGAAACTGCAAACATTTTACAGAAGATACTAGGGGCAATTAGAAAGATCTAATAGTGTTGTCTTGGCCATTCAAAATCCCTTTAGAACTTTCTCAACAGGTGTTTTGATGCAGGTGCATCACTCATAATCAGAACAGATCATTTAACACTAACTGCTCTTGAAGAAAGCCAAGAGGAAAAGTGAAAAAATGACCTGGGATATCCATTATAAGATGCTAAAATGTTTTTATATAATACTGCAAATTGCAAGGGCCTTCATTTTTGAAAGTGTGCTTGCCAACCAGTGAAAACACCAGATTGGGTAGTAAACACTGGGTAAGTTCTACAGGGAGAAAAGCGATCAAAGCAGGATCTCCCTGCGGCTTTTTAAAGAGTAAAGGGAAAATTTCAGGACAACCCACCAGCGACCTGCAACAAATGTTCCAGCCATGAATAACTCTGAGGTTTGCTATGCAATGATCTACATTATATCCATCTAAATCTACTAAGTGGATAATCTTGATACGAGAAGCTAGAAAGAACAACATAAAGGCTTTGTGAGGTGTGCCACTGAGACTTTTCTAAGAGCCACCATTTAGTCTGCTATGCAGTGTGTACATGGGCTGATTATCTCCAAACACTTTGGCCATGTGCCTAGTTGAGTGGCCAGTAGGTAAAATAAAACAAGCTAGAAAACATTCATGACATCAGTCAGTCTGAATGGCAAAGGGACTTACATTTGGAAACCAGACCACTGCAGCAAGTTATTTCTGATTTACGGAAGAGACTGGTCCATGCTGACGCCGATCGTTTGGTAGATCTCCTTCAGCAGCAATAGCACCGTGTCTTCTGACTCCCTGGACATTATGAATGAATCAATACAGAGAGAAGGAGAAAAAGAATTCATTATAAGAGTGCTACAGAAAGCCTATACGGCAAACCTCTTGGAATCAATATGGAAGATCAGCTGCATTCAAAATACCTGGCAAGAGGAGACCCTCAGCTCCCATTCCCTTCTCATCTTCCCTCACTGTATTCCCAGGAAAGGGGGCAGAAGGGGGTGTTGTTGTGGCCCCCACTTTGAATAAAAGGCCCAGGACAATGGCTAAGAATGGCAGCAGGATTCTGTCTGCCGTGTTTTTCCTTCCATAATGGTAACCTTTTCCTAGCCCAGATACCATGAAACCAGTTAGAAGATCAGATGGCCGCTCTTATTGTCTTGCCCACAAGTGATGGAAAATGCCACCATAAAGACCAGCCGGACAGTACAGTAAGGACTGGATTCTGTCTGCAGGCTGCTAGTTGACCATTTCTGATCTATGCAGTTACTGGGAGCATTCAGTAAAACTAACATAAATAAGAACAGGCGAAGCTTTAAATATTATTTTGATTCTGGCTTTTAGCATCATTTATTCTAGAGACACATGCCATCCACTGCAGTAGATGGGCCCAAGAGAGCTTGATTCCTTCTGAACTGAAACCTCTCAAGCCTCCTTTAGTCCCCTCATCGGGAGAAAGGCAACCTATAAATGATACTAAATAAACAAATAAAATAAACTTTCTGGATGTCTCTTCTCAGCCTTCATTTCTCAAGCAACCCCCAAACCAGAAGCAGAAGTAGCCTACTAGAAATTAGAGGGAAAGATTTCACAAGAATAACTAGCAAGGTTTCTCATTATTAAAAGCCGGCTTTAAGCCTTGACATTTAGCAGCATTTACTGCACTAAAAAACTGGACACAAGGCCATCCAAATCTTCTAGAAGCGGTACAGGAAGGCTCAAGACAATTCCCATAGAAAATTTTCCTTTCTTTGCACAGCTTACTTAACAGGTTATTGCAAAAACAGTACATGGAAGAGAGAATGTGCAACACTGCCTTGTGGCATTTGGAAAGAAGGTTAAATAAAAATGTAATCAACTTTAAAAAGCAAACAAATAAAAATCCGAAGTTTACCAGTAACAGAGGTGGCCTTGCAGGGCAAAGAGGTACTCGTTAAAGCTTTCAATTGGCTTCTCTTGTAGCACATAGTCAATGCGGTGGCCTCCATTGAGCATGCCCACATTAACTGGAGCAGGCTCTTCCTTCACCGGTGTGGCCGACTCTTCAGGTTTCTCTTCTGAATTTAAAAAAAGAGAAAGGAAAAGCCTGGTAAGTGCAGTTAAAATTGGTTACCAGCTCAAATAGATGGAAGACCAGTCTGTCAACCAGTAGAGACTGGAAGGCACCTTTTCTGCCTGAGAAGGCGGGTGCTGTTTGCTTCAAAAGCCTCCTTTGACAGGCAGAAGCAGCACAGAAGGAAGAATTTTTACACCTGCCAAAACAGAGCAAAAGAATTTGCAGTTTGGTCAGAGAGTTATGCTATCTCAATTTCAGACCTGATGACTCCAGATAGCCTCACAGCTCCCTGGCTTTTTTTTCATCGAGGATAATAAGAATAGCCAATATCTGGGCAATGCAAACTTAAAGAAATTTGCCATCTTACCCAAATATTTTAAACATATCCAGATGCACCTCACTGGGTCAACACATTCAGTTTATCTGATTTACTTGCAGAGACTTGGAAGCATTTGTGAAAGACAGGTATGGAGAAGGGCTGAAGAATTTCAGGTGATCCGGGAGGAATTTACCCTCCCACAGATCAGCCATGGTGCGCACACACGCATACACCCATAAGCAAACAAAATCTGTTGCCCTCAAACAAGTTCCTGCAGTGGTGGTGGCAAACGGGCTGTCCACCCTGACACAGAATAACGGGCAACCTTTCTTCCTCTTTGCAAGGCAATTTGGTGAAACTCTACAGAGACGCAGCCTGCATTTTGTGCTCCCAATTGGGGGGCGGGGGAAGAATGATCAGCCAGGATTCTCACCAACCTGGTTGCTTCTTGGAATTGGCTTCATCTTCCACTTCATGTTCCGTATCTCCAGTGGCCCCTGCCTCCACAGCTGGCAATGAAGTCCTGGTAAATGACTGCCAGGCCATTTTCAAAGATCCCAGTAAGTTGTTTTTCAGATCCATACTCATCCGCGTGAGGCCTTCTTTCAGTTCTGGAGAACAGAGAGGTCCAACACAGATTTGCAAAGTAAATGCAGCAGTTTCAGTGGCCTATTTTCAACCCTTAGAAGCTGCTATTCTAAATATGCCATCAACATGCTGGAGCAGATACTTTTTACCCATGGTTTGACATATCCATTTAGATTCAGCACCAATCCAATCTTAATACCCCTCAAGTTTCCTCATTCAGACTCTTCGATCCTGGCCTTCAAATGTAGACAATGCTCTCCCTCTGCTCCCATGCAATCCCTCAGTGTAGGGGCAGGGAAACTCAGCCCCTGGAGCCAAATAAGGTTCTCTGGGAACCAAACTGCCCTTGTAGGCTTACCCCATTAGCTATATCCCTCCACTACAACATCGTTATTGGGCTTCACAGCTTTTGGTATCGTCCACTCCTGTGGCGAATGGTTACATATTTAGAAAATTTTTTTGACTTATTCTTTACTTTTAGGCAGCCATGTGGCTATTTTATAAAATCCATTGCATTGTGAGTTGTTAACACACCATTACCAACTGGCCACTCCTCCTTAATCATTCAAGCTGCCACTTTCTGCTTGATACTGGGAATACATGTGGATGTTTCAGAACAGTTTCTGCCAGTAAAACCTACAACCCATTATTTTGATATTGTCAAGCCTACAAAGCCACACACCAAGAATGGCAACTGGCAGGAAACTCTCCATGGGACACATGTGTTGAGTGTCCGGCCACCAGTCAAAAAAACAAGTGAGAGAGTATTACATGCTCTGTAGCCATGAAGGCCCAGCATGAAAATTTAGATCAAAAGCTGGCACTGTCCAGAATCTATCTGGATAAGAGTTGCAATTACTCAAGAGGAGCAGGGGAAAACTGGCACGAGCATGTATTCAAACAGCTTCCGGAAACAGAAGGAAGTATTTTTGAGCACGCTTGGATTCAAAAGGCCAATCATTGGAAGAGCTTCTGTTTTACCTAAATGCATTAGAAACAGAAGGAAGTATTTTTGAGCATGCTTGGATTCGAAAGGCCAATCACTGGAAAAGGAAGAGCTTCTGTTTTACCTAAATGCATTCTCTTCCTGCCTTTGTGGTGAGGAAGCAGCATCGGCTCAAATTCCACATCAGGGACAATCATGGGCTCAATCCTGTATGCCACAGGGTCAAACTGCAGAAGAAAGAAATAAGGTCCACTTCACTATTTACCTATTTTGGAGGCTTCCTAAGAGTTCCTAAAATAGGTTAGAAGGAAACAATTCTCAGCCTGTTCTCTCTCTCTCTCATCAAAATCAAAATGTAAAAACAAAACAGCAGCACACTTAAAAAAATCTGTATTCCATTAAAAAAAACGAACAGCTTAATCCTAATACCAAAGTGACCCAGGATATACGATAAAAAGCTACAACCTGCCCCCGAGGCACATTCCCCTTCCAAGACCTAGCTCTGGATCTTGGTGATTCTGAGATCCATTTGGATGGGACACAGGGTAGCTCTTCCTCAGTGGCAGGCCCCAGAACATGGCGCTTCCTCTGTAAAGAAGCTTGCCGCTACTTTAAAAAAAACTGAAAACCGATTTGAGCAGAATTTTATGCTGATTCTTCCAGCTTTATCAAACCCTATTTCCATGGTTATAAAAGTGAACTACGTTTAGATGGTTGTACAAAAGCTGAGCCTGTTACCCTGTCAAAAGACAGGATAACAGTTCTTTCAGTTAAAATAAAGTGGAAGGAATAATAGAGATCCACTTTCATTGAGGGAAGCTTTCCAAAGTTGTGCTGTCAACCAGATAGCAGCCTGGTTGGCACAGGGAGGAATGGACAAAACAAGATGGTCTTGCAAATTTCATCAGCCCAGTTTCCTTGGAGGTGGATCCTAGCTTAAAGGGTGGCTTATCGTGTTCTGCACGCAAAAGGTACTCTTAATCCTTGGCTCCTCCAATTAGGGCTTGGAAAGAACTCTGGCTGAAACTCTGAAGAGTACGACAGACTGGAAAACACAGAGGCATCTTCTGTCCATTCCATGTAAGACTGCTACTTATCCTTCAGTTTCTGAGGCTTTAGAGTAAGGTGGAGAACTCTAATAAGCCAAAGGTCCAACTTTCTGATGCAGAATCCTCTGGAGATCATAAAGATCACAAAAAACTTTAATAATAATAAAAATACAAAATTAACCACCACCCTGTAACATGCAAAGAAAGGAAGCTTGATGTGCGTAGAAATTTGCTTCTAGTTTCTGTAAATGCAGCGATGGTGGTGGTGGGGAAGTTAATGTGAGAGTAGACACTGTTACCTATTTAAAATGAAACACAGCATAAATTTACCATTGGTGGTATGGGAAAAACGGGGGCCACAAAATAAACTTGAGGGTCACCCCTGATTTAAAGATCAAAACAAGCATTTTGGATCCAAGAACAGATTGGGAACAAATTGACATATATCAGAGCAATACAAGCCATACAGGAACTCCAGTTAAAAATCTGGAGGCTACTTGATGGTCTAGAAGAAAGGTTTTAACCCTTCAATAACAGCTGAAGATAAAGCACATTGCGAATCTGATCTAGACTATACACTGTCCACACAAGAGGAAACAATCACACACCTACAGGTAGCAACACCAAAAGCGGTGTTCCCATAGACGGAGTCAGAGGATCTTTGCTGTCAAAGGCCACATTTCTACTGTACATCAAGAGAGCACATAAAGAACTCAGTCTTAAGACTGATCACTCAATTAGCAAATGAATTAACTACACAGCAGAAGAAAGAGATACCGAAACTGGTTCAGATAATCTTCCAGATATCACTTTCTTCCCCAAAGGTAAAATTCAGTGCTTAGAAAACTCAAATTCTGTGTTGGGAATACATTTTTCTGAAAATTGAACAGAACTGTCCATGGCATTTTATGTTTCTTTCCAGTGGGTACATATTGGAATGTTTTCAAGTAATCAAACATTTGGAGAATTTATATGAGTGAAGGCTAGCTGAGCTTTGTTTTTTGTTTCTGATGTTTTGTTCTGTTCTATTTTGTTTTGGAAGTAATACTTTATATGCCGACCATTCTCCCCATAAATAAAAGCCTTCACAAATTCCATGTCAGTGCCTGGATGGCACAATTAAGATCATTCATGCAACGTGTAGAGATGGGCACGAAACACCAATTTGGCAGTTTGTGCTGGTTTGTTTACCTCTGCAACAAGTATTTGGTGGTTCAGCAGGTGCCCACTCAGAAACAGCGTCCAGGCTTCCCTGCCCCACCTCCGGCACTGCTTCTGAGCGGGCGCATGCCAGAGGGGAGAGGACACTGAACGGTTTAACACCTGTTGCAGTGGTACACAAACTGACACAAACCGCCCAACTGGCTCTTCCTGCCCATCTCTAGGATGGTCATAGAAATCATAGATCACATAGCTAAGCAGTCTGTAATGAATCCAGACCAAATTTATACTACTCAAGTCCTTTTGATTTCTATAGAACCTAAGCTATGATGGATATAAATTGAGTTAAATCCAAATGTTCCTCCAGTTGGAACAGACCAATTGAAGGAATGAATGGGACATTTTAAGCCCATCCTTGCACAATCAATCACTGATTCAATGGGCCTATGCTAATTAATACTAAAGCTTGTGTTTAGCCCACTAATTTAAACCAGAACCAGGTACAAATAGCTTGGCATGGATCTGATACTTTGACTCTGTTGGGAAAAATGCTGCTGCCATACATACGGGATGGAAGATGTTGAAGAAACCTTTGCAATTGGGCAGCCTGTAGTCCGGGTCGATCCTTTTCACACCACGTACAGTGAGGAACATCCCAATGGGGGAACCAAAGGCAAAGAAGATCTCCGGTTTGTAGAGGAGCTGAGGGTAATTTGCATGGACCTGTTGGTGTTTAAACACAGAAGACTGTTGTGCGAGGATGCAGGTTCACATAGTGAATTAACCAGGGCATAGCAAGTCGAAATAACACATGAACATTTTGAAATTAGGTTCTCCCCACCGTGGAACTCATTACTACATCAAGGTCAACAACTCTGATTTGGAACAGAACTGGACTACTTTTTAAAAAGTAAGAAGAAATGGTATCCCAACCTGCTTCCAGGGTCCTCACAGGAGCTTTTCCTGATAACTTCCCATCCAGGCTTAAACTGTTTAATTTTTGAGATTAAAGAAATTCAGGAATTTTCAGATCTTCCTCAAAGTTACAGCTTATCTAGTACTAGCTAATATTTGTTTGACAGAACACTTGCCCAATGATTTAGAGTATTCCAGGATCAGAAGTATAGAACTCTGTAAAGAATCAGCTGTGACAAACTCCGATCAAGACAGTGAAGAAGGGAAATGTTAGGAGGGGGAAGATAAACTTTCCTGGAGCAGATCCCCCCATCCTACACTGCAGGTCACGCAAGGAAAACCCAAGTTAGATTTGGTGAACTAGGCTTTTAATGTCAGGCTGTCAATGGGAAACCAGACACACTGTGGCCCTGGAGGTACTGGGTTCAAGGACTGGCCACAGGCAAAACCCTTTTTTTAAAGGAAGCTCAGTGTGGATTTGACCCAATAAAGCTTTCCAAAAAACTCCACGGTCGCTCAAACTTCAACAGGTCCTCTTTCTGGCATGACTGATCGATGAGATTAGAGTCGCGAAAGCTCCTGGGTTGTGAGAGAGTAGGAGGGTTACCTGCCCTGTCACAACATCCGGATGTTGGCCACTCGTCCCACCCTGCGCAGATATTAGAGGGGCCTCCCGTCTGGTGTCTCCTCCTTCCTTGGAAGCTGAAGGTGTTTGCTCTTTAGAATACTACAACAGAAGAAAAAAGACAGCCCTTTTCTGTAGCCTTGCTATCAAAATACATTGCTGTCACAACTGTCTGTCCCAGTGAGCAAGTGCAGGAGGCTAACCTTGTAAAATAAGGGTGGGCAACTACAAACCCACCCACCCTTATGTTGCAGCCCGAATCTATATAAATGATGAAGGATCATGCAACATGTTGCTCAATATCTGGAGGGCCACTGTTGTAATAGGTTCCAGCATGGTGGCATTTCTACTATTTGACTTAGTTACCAGGTCTGCAGTTGGAACTGTGTGCATTTGCTCATGGAATTGGCTGCGCAGAGAAGTGTATTTCACTCATGGCCTTCCAAAATCTTGGGGCAATTGATGGTTATAAATTCAAAATTAAATACTATTAAGATGAAAATGTAATTAAACAGATAAAATATTAACAGTTGCAATTAGCTCATTGTTGTTTTTTTCTTTCTTCCAGGGATCTCATGATGGTTCCATGCCATAATGCAGTTAAAATACTACATTTTCTTGGGTTTGCTACAATAAATTAACTCAAGACAAGATGCAATTCAAGGTAAAGAAAGGTAAGGTGAGATAGGAAGAGGATAGAGAGAGGCTGTTGCCAAAGATGGGGAAAGCAAAGCAAAAGGATCAGGGACAAAGGACAGGATGACCTATCTGGTTTTGGTCAAGAAATCATGCCAATATCCACTAAATAATACAAAAAGGTTTAAAGTATACAGACATTATTTTGATCCCGGATTCTGGAAGTATGGATTTAAATTACTTGGAATGATTATACAAAAGCCTACCTGGCTGTTGCTTTTACTCTTTATGTAATGCAGGATCTTCATTCGGGGTCCCAATGGAATTCCCATGTCTCTGAGTTCCTTTTCTGTGCATAAGGCCTGTGCAATAAGAAGCCCACAGACAGGTATGTACACTACAACAACCAGTAACTCACAGCAAACAAGGTCTCAGGCTTATTCTTCTTCAACCTTCTCCTTCGACCAGGACAGAGGCTTGGTAATGCTTAGGCAATTATTTCAAAGAATAACACAGCTTTATTTTAAAGAAACAAACAATGAGTACCACACAGAGCTACACTGGAATGCTCAGTCTCAAACAATTGATGCAGAAATTATCCCTTTACAGCCAGCACCACAATCCATAGGGCTTATGCAGTCTTTTTCCTGGAGCCTCTGTGAAACTGCCAGGAAGGGAGACATGCCTCCTCCTCACAGACAGAGAGCCCTGGCTGGCTGGACCCACTGCTTCAGAGGATTTCAGTGTTTTCCGCTGCCCAGCAGGCTTTGGCCACAACATGAAAGCAATCAAGCATGAGAAGAAATGCTACCAGAATAATTCTGGCACCCTATCACCACCAACATATTTCTATATTTCTATTGATTGATACTGTACTTCACTGCAGCATTCCTTTGTAAATCATGTTCTGAACCCTTGGGGGTTAAAACTGGAATATCAAATACTTTCTGTTATCCGGATGGTGGAATTAAAAGGCTAAACCAGTGGTCCCCAACCTGTCTGGGCGTGCATGGGTGGGGCGTCCGTGCATCTGTGCGCCTGAGGACAGGGTGTGCATGCGTCCGTGCGTGTATTTGGGGGGGGCATATGTGCGTGCGGGGGGAGGAGATCTGTCTCTGTGGCCGGTTCTGCCAAGGCCACAGCCTGGTACTGGACCACAGACCAGGGGTTGGGGACCCACAGGCTAAATTATCATTTGATTAATGAAACGGATCAGTACGTTTGCAAATGAAGTTAAGAATGACATCTTAAATAAACCTATATATACATAAGAAATAGGATAGGATCCCTCATCTTAGAACATCAGAGGCATCCCAGTTGAATCTCCTGTTTACGTTCCAAGAAAACACATGTGTACCCCATCTGATGGTTGTGGTGGGTTTTCCAGGCTGTTTGGCCACGTCCTTAAGGTTTTTCTTCCTAATGTTTTGCCAGTCTCTGTGGCTAGCATCTTCAGAGGACAGGAAGATGCCGGCCACAGCGACTGGCAAAACGTTAGGAAGAACAAAAACCTTAAGGCCGTGGCCAGACAGCCCGGAAAACCCACAACAACCACTGGCTGTGAAAGCCGTCGAGAATACATTGTGTCCCATCTGCCTATCATTTTATCGTCATGAAGGAAGCACAGTGCTGAAAGTACAGACAAGCCGAAGCAAAGCCGGCAGGACGACACAGATCTAAATAAGAGCAACTACAGCAGCTAATTTACCAGGGCTTGACTGTCCACCTCCTCTTTCTCAAACACTGAGCAGTATTCAGAAAGTTCAAGTTCTGTTAAAACATCCTTCACCGACTTCATGCCTTCTGGGATGGCTGCCAGTTTTCGGGGGCCCTGGGAAGACAGGCACCACACTCATATAGCATTTAACAAAAGAAAAAAGTTTGTGTTGATAAAACTTTAAGAATAGGACAGTGCCACAAATATATAGCTTTCTGACAACATTTCTGGGGGGGGGGGGTACTGCACTCCTTTCACCTTTTAAATTTTTTTATTTATTAACCTTTTCACTAAACAGAACATTCAAAGTGGTCAACAGTACAGATAAAATATCCAAGTGTTCATTAAACCATCAAAACATATCTGATAATAAGAAATAACCACACCAGCCAGATTAAGACCTCCTCCAGTAGCAAATCAGATTAGACACAGAGACCAGAATCCTGTAAGAATCAAGCAGGCAATCCTGTAAGCAGTGTGCACTATCTTGCTGGCTGTCTATCCGTCTGTGCCTAGCCAGGCTCAGTTTGTACACACAGGCCATGAAGTAGAAAGTTAGAGTAATGTGAAAGTCACTTATGTGATTCCTCCTTAGGCACACAATATGTTGCTGTAAAATTCTGGCCCCAAAATCTGTCTGAATAAGAACGTTTAAAAGACATTTACTAAATCTATCCAAAAGAAAAGTAAAAGAACCATATTGCAGTTACACAAGATTTTCAGGATGAACTCTTGCTTAGACTGAATATTCAACAAATACAAAATATGTTTCTGGTGAAATCCATGACACTGAGCTCTCCCTACAGTTTCAGGTAATGGAGCCTTCTGCAGATTCATTGTTAAACATCACACTGAAAATCTTGTGGTGTTGCTGCGTGCTGTTTTACCGCTCCTTTTGCATTACATTATACTACTAAAGACATGAAGTGACAGTCACTTCTAATATAGAAAACTGCATAATTTAGGATTGCCTCTGGAGAATATTAAATTTAGCACTCCTCAAACTGGAAGGAAAAGGTAACCAAGGACATGGCATGACCGTCACAATTATTATGAGCAACATTTCATGGTACTATCCATTTGGAGTCAAGTAACTCTGAGTCAGCACGTTTGCATTTTCAAAGAGAAAAAGCATCAGTAAAGTGGGCTGCTTATATAGTGCTCCATAGTGCTTAATAACGCCTGGACAGTTTACAATTTTAAATTATGCAGGCTACACTGCCCCCTCCGCCCCCACCCGAGCTGGGTACTCAGTTTACTGACCTCAGAAGGATTTAAGATTGAGTCAACCTCAAGCCAGCGATCAAACTCAACTCATGAGCAGAGTCTTGATTGCAGTACTGCAGTTTAACCACTATGTCATGAATGGCTGCCCCCACTTTCTTTTTCAAGCACTCCTCTCTGGAATTTGAGATCTCTGCAGAGGTGTAACCTAATTAATCTGCAAAGGGCTCCAGTGCCATCATAAAAATGAAGCTGTAGGCAGAGCTCAGTAAAGTGTGCTGATTAAACTTTATAATGAACTTTACCAGAAACACATTTTTTTTGTTCATTCAACATTCATTCTGAGTTCCATGTGAACTTATAAGTCACACACCACACTGAAAATCTTGCATGGTAGCAGTTTTGCCAATCCTTTTAAAAGTATACATATTTCTAGCTGCAGTTGCAATGGTAACTAGAGAAAAAGTGGGATGCTAAGAGATGCCATATCAGTCTCCCAATATTTGCTTTTATATTTTAAAAATGTATACACGGATATAGTTATGAGTTAAGGGGAAAGGGCAGGGGAAAGCTGCTTTCCTACTCTCAAAAAGCCTGTATAAAACCAAGAAGCTGGTTAACAATGCAAGCATGTACCTCATCTTTATTTTCCTCTTCATCAGATGTGCATTTTTGATTTGTGAGAAGGTCAAACAGTATAAGCGATCCTAAGAAAAGAATGCAATCAGCAGGGTGTCAATAACTTGGAAAAAATGTATGTTAAACAGACATCTGATTCTTCTTACCCTGCTTCCCTGAAAATAAAACCTAACCTGTGTTAGGGTCCCAATCTAATTGTGTTGGTCCACCCATCTATTATTTTACATTGACTGATTTATTTTTTGTTTACCGATTTGGCTTACTTTATTATATTTCCTTTATTATTGTTACATTATATTGCTTTATTACTAAGCACCCTGAGTAGTGCCTTGCACTCATCAGGCAGTACAGAAGCTCAAGAAATAAACAAATAGAATTAAATAAATTAAGAAGAGAGAGGAAGGTTTATACCTAAGCTGTGACCTGCTAATGAGACTCCTCCTTTAAAGTCAGGATTCCTCTCCAAGAAGAGAAGGTAGAGTCGGTTCATTTCTGAAGCAACGGTGTCCACAATGGTCTGACAATAGGTGGAGCTATTATAAAAGAAAACGTCTAGGATGGTGTCATTGATGAAATGACGTAAGCGGTTGATGCTTGGCAAGGTGATTCTCTCCAGGTCTCTGAGGACAAAACAGAGAACGGCATTTGAGGGAAAGCTCTCCCTTTCTACTGGGATTTCAAATTTTTGTGTCACTAAAGTTTAATTCTCTAACAGAAAGGCTTAAGCTCACCTACAAAGGTGCAGATCTAAATGGTGCTGCATTCTCTACTTCGGTGAAAGCAACCACCGCCTTGCATCTGTTGACTTACAAACAAGTCTCGCTGGTCTTAAAGGATTTCCACAAATACATAGATTTCAACAGATGGGGAGTCTTCCAAGTATTACTCAGCTGCTTTCCCCATAAACTCTAGCCAGCTTAACCAGCGATGAAGTACACTGGGAGCGGCAGTTCCACAATCCTCTTATATAAATGACTGAGTAACAAATGACCTGAACTTTTTAAACTAAATGATTAGCAAGCAGAACTCATTGTAATGAAACTGGCTTCTAAATGAATGTTTGCTAATGTGAAACTTCTAGCATGAAAGCACAGGAAGCCCACAAAGAATAAAAAGTGGCCTATTCCAAACAGTGGCAACTAGTAATCTAGTGTGTTGGATGTCCTGACATGTCTCCAGCAAGGAAGCTTACCTACACACCTCAGAACAGGAAATTCTGGGGAAAGCTTTAGCTACACAGCTTTTCTATTAGCCCTACATGAAATTTTATGGATGTGACAGGCAAATTACAAGACCTAGTGATGGCTCATCTGAGAGAAGAGGGGATATTAGAAGCATGCAATGTTTTATTCTCATATTCCAGGAAGAACTGTACTGAACAGTTGCAGTACAGTTGCTAATTTATTTCTATTGTTTTACTTTGTGTTCTGTGAGCTGCCCAGAGTAGACTATGTCTAGATGGGCGGCATACAAGTTCAATCAATCAATCAATCAATCAATCAATCAGTCAGTCAGTCAGTCAGTCAGTCAGTCAGTCAGTCAATCAATCAATCTCTTGGAGGATTGGAGCACGAGTGCCGTTGTATGAGGTGAAGTTGAAGAGAAGGACATGGCACAAAGTTTCCCAACTAAGAGAGTTTGCTGGAACTTTCAAGCAGAAGGTTACAAACAACTGCTTGCATTCACTTGTTACACAAGGGTTATTCATTTGTCTGCAAGAACAACTGAAGATGCCTCTATACAGCACAGATACAAAAAGAGTCACGTGCATTCCGCCCTCCACACCCCCGGGGTTGGAAATGTAAAAGCATACTGCACATTCCCCCTCTAAATCTCCTACTTGGCAGAGATACAAGTATATGCGTATCTCTGGCAATCGCCGCACCCGCCAGGGAAACACTGGTATACCACAGCTATATACATCACACTCGCTGCCTCTGGGTCTTATCACAATCTCCTCTTTTCAGCCCACTCCCTGCCCATTAGTTATGTTTGATGCACTTGCTGATAATGCTGCGGGATTCACTTACACATCCACACCCGTATGTAAGGTACTGTGCCAATTCACTGGGAGGAATTCTACCCGGCCAATCTGTTGCTGTTCCTGCGCTTTCTTGAAGTGTGTCACTAGCATGCTCAAGGAAACATTGCGGAAGTCATTAACTGTAAGAAAATTCAAGTGCTGAATGAAGGCACAGTGCAACCCACACATGTTAAGGTCCAAATGAAATGCAATGTCAGGAAATTCCTAAAAGGATCGAATAAAAAAACTGATCGAATAAGAAAACTGGAAAGCATATTGATGCCTGCTTTCTCACCCTTGCAGGCATCAACTATTTCAAGGCTTCTTTCATACATTCTGAAATGCAATTCTTCCCATCTCATTCAAGATCTGTTTAGCAAATTATGAATGTTAGCAGTTAAGCTTAAGCGTAAAATTATCTTCTCAGAAATAAACTCTTAAGCATTCCCAAGAGCTGATTTGATTGCATACTGAATAACAATTCATAGGGGTCACAGAGTTTATATTAGAAAGCAACTCAGAATATTAGTTTGTAAAAATTCTACTTTCAGAAATACACTAGCCTCACAACATCAAAATAAATAATATTTAACATATGGATGTGTATGTACATATACCGTATAAATAATACAGCAATAAATATTTCAAATTGCATATGATACACACACACACACAACGTATATATAAAAAGCATAGACCCTAACATAGAAATAATTAGACACTACATTAGAAACACCCTCATCTTAAAATTCATGTAGCACATTAGAGATTAAATAACGTTATAATGGCATACGTTTTTGTAGACTACAGCCACAGTTGTCTTGAAAATCATCATTAGAGATGGGGGTATTCATATACCCCGCACAGGTGGAAATAATGCGGGTCCAGCCCCTTGGGGCCAGACTGTCCACTCATTATTTTGCTGCTGATGCAAGCTCGTTGGACCTTCCTATCACACCGTTGTCCGCC